AGAACTTAAAACAGTTATGCTGATGGACAAAAATTTAATTTTCAGCTTCACTGTAACAATTTCACACATCCAGTTGGTTCTGAGTTTCACAGCATTTTGTGGTCATGGGATCTTAAATTCACTTACCAGGTATAGATCTTTTGTATAAATTACCTTTTCATATTTTTTAAAAGAGACATGTGTTTGTATAACTTATTAATATGTGGTGCAATCCAAAAGTTCCTGAAATATATTAATAAAAACTACTGCATCTTACCTAGATCTTATTCTGTACCATCACCTTCAAAGTAGTCCCCTTGGGAGCGCATACACCGATCCCAGCGTTTCTGCCACTTTTCAAATGCATCCTGGAAGTCTTTCTTTGTTAGGGTGTTTAGTACTGTCTGCGTTTCCGCTTGAATTTCCTCAACTGTATCAAATCTTCGCCCCTTCAACTTGATTTTCATCTTGGGGAAGAGAAAGAAGTCGCATGGAGCTAAGTCTGGCGAGTACGGTGGGTGGGGAACAACTGCCATTTTGTTTTTAGCCAAAAATTCCTGCACAATGTAAGCCATATGCGGTCATGCGTTGTCATGGAGGAGTACCCAGTCGTTTGTTTGCCACTTCTCTGGACGTTTTCTCCTCATGTCCTCCCTCAAACGCCTTAGAACATCGCGATATAACTCTTTATTGACTGTCTGACCAGGAGGGACGAACTCCTTATGAACAATCCCGTCAATATAAAAAAACAGAACATGGACTTAATGTTGCTCTTGACTTGTCGAGCTTTTTTTGGCCGAGGTGAAGAAGGACTCTTCCATTGCAACGATAGCTGCTTGCTTTCAGGGTCGTAGCCATAAACCCCACTTTTGTCACCAGTGGCAACCTTCGAAAGTTTGGATCCTCTTGAAGCTGTTGCTGTAGTTCCCTGCAGATTTCCAAGCGATGCTGCTTCTGTTCATTTTGCAGCAGTTGGGGCACAAACTTCATTGCAATCCTCCTCATGTTCAGTTCCTCTGACAAAATTTGTTGACATGTACCATAACTTAGTCCCAAGGTGTTAGAGAGGTCTTCGATGATCAGTTGATGATCTTGCAGAACCAGATCCCTATCTTTTGCGACATTTTCTGGTGTTTTGCCCGTTAATGGCCGTCCCGAACGATTGTCATCATCAGTCAATGTTTGGCCATTTTTAAAACGCTTATACCAGTTGTAAGTTTGTGTCTGGCCTAAACTGTTTTCACCAAAAGCTTGCTTCAACATTTGGTGCGTTTCTGCAGCAGTTTTCCCAAGTTTGAAACAAAACTTTATACAGACACGCTGCTCTCTCAGGTCAGCCATCGCAAAACCGCAAACTCACGGAAACACAACAATGGAAATATGTTCACCAACAATAAACCCAACCACTCAACTCGACGCCGCTTGCCACACTGATTCAAGAAGGATGTGTGAGGAGACACCTAGCGGTATTTCGATGTACTCATAACCATTCGCATGCAAATTCAAATTTCGGAAACTTTTGGATTGCCCCACGTATATGTATTTTATACTTTCAGCATTCTCAAGCATCAAGCTTCTATAGAAAATTTGCTGTTATAAAAAACGTGTACCTTGGCAATAATGTGGGTAAGTGGTCAAATGTGTAGTGTAACACTGTTCTGAATTTTAATTTAATCAAATTTTTCTCAAATGTATGCCTCATGAATTCAGTTTCTATCTGTCGGAAGTTTTTACAAAACTGAGTGTTACAGTAACAAATTTGCAACACTATGTTCATAGATTTACTAGAAAGGGAAACAAAAGAGTGTTTCAAAGAACACACAATATTATTTACAGTTTAATTGCATTGATGTTTTACAGTAAGGACACACCGAAGCAGAAGCCAAGTACTCTACATACTCAGAATTCTTCAGCTTGAAGTTTTCAAACAATCCCTTCCATGATGTATTGTTATCTAACCTCAGTGCTTATACAAGGGGGAACATTGTGAATATATCTCCTCTAATTATACATACATAAACATTTCAATGGACATTCTACTAATATTTCTGTAATATACAAATTAGTGACACACATACAGGTGGTAGCGTTAACATGTTTCAGACACATAAGAAGATATGAAAGTCACGGTCACTAGCTGGTTAGGTTCCACAAACAACTTTTGGTGTGACGCAGAATTCATTTCTGGTGCCAAAATATGAACCAATCCTTACATTGATCAAAACTGATGTATGCTCTGTGATGGTGAATTATGAACTGGAAAGGACTGAAGAGTTACCATTATAAAGTCTTTTGTAAAGTACTATTTCAGCAGAATATGAAGACCTGTTCTTGTACATGCCTGGCAGGAGTTAAGTTACAATTTGCATCAAACAAGTGAGCCACGAACATCAAACTGGGCAAATGCATCAATCCTGATCTCACATTATTGTGTTATCAGAGTTATATAAGTTACTGGAGATTTCATTTTATAAGACTTAATTTGTATTGACACTCAAGAGTTTGTACAGAATTTCTTCACAACCACTTTTATTCTGCAAATATGTTATGTCCCACACTTAGGTCAAGAGACTGATAAGAATACCACAGTCTACAAACATACTGTCTCAAGTCTCTGTGCAGCCTGACAGTCAACAGTAGCATTTAACTTAATGAACATCTTCTCTGGAAATCTGACTGATGAATGGCCACACCACTAAAATGTTGTCCGCAATTAATGCAGTACTCCACCTTCCAGTTTTAAAATTTAGATTATTCAAGCAATAATGTTTTCAAATACCACTTTAATAGGCTATGTACACTGTCACCATGGGAATGTATGTTTTCAAATTAATGAAAAAGAAACAGAATGAAAATCTTTTAAATCTATGAACAAACCTCTGGCTACAGTGTTGAAATCCTTACCAAAAAGAAAAATGTTAGAGGGTCTGCTATATGCAACATGGTTAGTACACATCACAGTGGTCAATAATCATAAACATGTACTTGAATGGTGGGAGTTATGTAATGTAGTTTTTCAAAAGAGAAATATTTCTGACTAATGTAACAAACCTATAGAGCACTTCTTATGCAATAAATATAACAATGCCTAAAACCTAAATTCTAATCCTTATCAATTTATTGGCCCCTCTTTTAAAATTACCGTTTTACAAGATATAAAAGATAAATTTTCTTTAACAAATCTAGTTTACTTTTGACTACCTCAGTTCAGTATAATTTCTTGTTACTGGAATATGATTCGGTCTTTACAAGGAATCATATTACCATTTCCTTGGTCTTTAAGTGTTGGGCTTCATTTCTTATTTGGCACTCAGCTGGTTACAGAGTATGGAAATTTCTATGCTCTTTTGTCAGGTAAGGAGAGGATAAATGCATAGAATTTAACATCATTATTAATTCAGACATTTAAAAATTAACTCTCAAATTAGCATACTTTCTTTTCACACAGAAGTATTTAAAAATTCCTGCATACATCAGAACCATTTTTTTAGTCAGAGAACTTAAAGGTCCTATATGAAAGAACACAACCTCTGGCTGAAAATTTAGTAAGACGGAGTTACAAAAATACTCTCTTACAGACCGTTTTTGTATCCAGTCAACCTCAGTGAACTGTGAAAAACGCAGTTACACACTATGTCAGGGGAAAGTAAGTTTGTAGCATGCAGCCCTACCCAAGATACAGTGGTTATGCTGGAAAATAAATATAAACATAAAGCAATATGCTCCATCTTTTAAAAATTACAACAGAAGTATAGCTGGAAAAAAAGAGGATAATCAGGTCCTAAAATGTGTGTTTCACTACATGCTCCACACACATCTGGAAACAAAAAACATCATCAGAGGAGAAAATTTAACAGAAACAGAAGCAAATTTAAGGTGCAATGGATAAGCGCATGCTTCAATGTACCTGGAAATAAAGAAAAGAAACACAATCCAGAAGTAGACAGTAAGAACAGTGTTCTTGTAATTACATGTAGGTTGGGACCAAAGGAGAATCTATGTTAAGCAACACATATAAGGAGTGATGGAACTGTGCAAAGTGCATGCACTTCCACCGACTAGCTTGGATGCTGTGACCATTGCAGACCTAGGCCAGCCCTAAGACCTACCTGTTTTATTTTTAACATGTAGAGATGGTTTCAAATCTTTATTACACATGTCGCGATCCTTGCAACATCCTATTACAAAAGTGTCATTAAGGGTATTGGCGTAATGACACAAGATGGGGTTCTCAGGTGGATAGACTAATGCTTTCTCCAGGCACCTGTTTTTAAACACAACACACAGAAGACACAAACATGGATTAGGAAAAAAAAAGTGTGAGTTCCAAAAAAATGTAAAAAAAAAATATTAAGAACATGCCACAAACATAAATTGCATCAGTCAGCCAGGGTCTTAGGGGAGTAGCCAGTCCAGCCCAGCCATTCATCTTATTTAGTTTCAAATCTAGACAAAACACAATTCTCTGCATAAAATGATGCTTAATTATTCTGGTCTCATATTATAACAGGTAGGGGAAGTACTGTACAAGGAATCACAGGTTCTGGTTAATCTACAATACTAAATAAACTACCTTATCAAAGAGACTACTGCCCATCAAGGCTGTTGTGTTGCGTGTCATTTGTGTTCTGCCCAGAAACGCTCTACAACAGACATGGAAGCAACAACTCTCTGAACATCACACATTTCATGACATATTTTCAAGCTACCATTTCCATCTATTCCCTAACTCCAAATAGAAATGTGAGAAAACAAAACCACTACACCTGCTATTGAGCTGTTCACTATGTCTACTATGTTAAGGATACAAATTCACACAAATCACAAGAAAACTGCACTCAGTTAGTAAAGAGTAAGTTGTACTTCCACAGCATCATGTCCATACGAAACTTATCACACCTAGCCATACGACACACTGTAAGAGAGCATGAGATTAATACATTAATAGGTTGCAGCAAGCTATCGTCACATGATGAGGGAGCTGATGGGCGGGCAACGCAAAGGGATGAAGCCCACCTTACCTGGCATCAGGGATGTGTGAATGGTGGTAGTGGTGGTGGTGGTGGTGGTAGTGGTGATGGGGGTGGCCAGAGATGGGACCAAAGAGGAGTTGCACCAATCTGAATTGTTGCAGCATTCAACTTGCATCTCAGGCGTCTGACGGCTGTACACTGAGCACTCAATAGGAAACTCCCTCGGGAAAAAGTTCTTCTTGTTTAGACACCTTCACAAAACCCAACACACAGAAAATACATGTACTGCTCTCAAAAACATAAAAGTGCTACATAAGTGAATCAGTTTTGTGTCACCAATAAAATAATGATGTTGCTGAAAACTTGTATAAACAAATTTTAAAAAACTTAAATTATAAGTTCTCTTTGAAAATGTCATCAAATACATGCAGACAGAGTTTTTAATTTAAATGTTACTTATTCTCAAATACTAATACAAGATTGGATTTAAAGCACATGAGAAATATAGCTAATTGTGATTTACATAAATGATACATAAATCAACTGTCAGAGAAATGGACTGATTTGCAGAACATAGTTATGTAGAAGTCAATTCATAATCACTGTGTATTTAAGATACACTTCTATTAATAATAAATAAACAACATAACATACACTTCTATTAATAAAAAATAAATAACATAACATAAATAACACCAATAGTTCCAGATTATAAGCATACAGCCTAAAAGAGATGTCAAATTATATTCAGTATCCCAACTGCATTGCACATAATTCACTTGTAACATTCAAGATACAGTAACACCTGCTGACAATATAATTTTAAACTACCTATGAAGGTTGAAGTGCAGAGAAACATTGCTTTCAATAACATGAGGTACATGGAAAGTGTCTGAGAAGGGACAAGTTACCTTAACATTCTATTTGCTCTGTGAATGAAGAAATAAGAGCATAAGAATGCACTAAACCATGTCATGAACTTAAAGACACAATTTAAAGAGTAGACACAGAAAATTATGTTATACAGAGAACCCCCTTTTAAGGTCTATTTTAGCAGCACTGGACCTGAAGAATAAAATGAGGGCAATCTTAAATGGAGCTAACTTAACATTTAAATTATTAACATGTGATCATTGAAACTGAACGTTAAATGAGGAAAAGTGAAGGAACATTAAATGGGGGATCTGCTGTAATCTGATATTAGCTGAACACAGTTAAACAATCAAAATAAACTGTTAATTAATTATTATTTTTTTTTTCACAAATGGTTCTACTTTTCTGTTTCCTACATTTTTTATAGAACAAGGAGTCACTATTTTATTGACAGAAATATCTACATTTTCTGGAAGCACAATGTGACAGACATTAGAAGGCTGACACATAACAATATTATGCTCAAACTGGGCCTTCCAGAAGATGCACATTATACATTTCTCATATTTCTAGCCTTTTAATAAGAATACAGAAAATAAGTTTACCACTGCTTGTGAAGCTGTGGTCAAGAATAAACGTGAACAAATTTTGCATGAACTGAATGATTCCTACAAAATACTCAATGATTACATGTGTTCAGCATAATCATAACCATATCATACAGTGCATCCTTTAACTTCTATTAATGAGAGTGAAACAACTATTCAAAAAATATATAGTTCTTATTTATGGCTCAATATACGCAGCTCATGGCAGAATTCATAGCCTGCTTTCCCAATGAGGATTCCAGTCCTACACATTATGCGTCGCTAATGTCTTATTTAGGTAATGTAAATTTATAACCCTATAAAACAAAAACTCTGTGATCTGTAGTCTGCAATCGAACTATACCGACCGAGCAACCACTGCTTGTCGGCGAAGTTAGTGTCAATTTAGCGGCCTCCGTAGTCTAGAGGTAACATTCCCACCTCATGACTCGTGGTATGCGGGTTCAAATACCCGGAGGAGGTCGTCGAATTTTTAAGGGCAGAAAAATTCAGGGAACAAGCCCTCCAGGAGGGACTTTAAGCTGTGTGACCCGTGTCGTAACTTTACGGCATGTAAAAGAACCTCATATCCCGAAAGGGGATCACTGAGCCAAATTCCAGGACGTTTCCCGCCCAATAATAGTCTCTAAGGCCTCTGACAGATGGGGGAAGCATTATAGATACTGCTAAGCAAGTGGCCAAACTCGCTTGCTCGGTGGGACTGATGGTAAGCACCATTTATCGGTAGGGTATAGAGACTGGTAGAATATCACAGAGGGAAGCACAATAGATCAAACTGGTCGCGGTGCATGGGGAAACCCACCCTCTCTAAATAACTAACTAGTGCCAATTTTAGCGGATAGAGGGTGTCATGTGGTCAGCGCAATGAATCCCCAAGGTGGTTAATTTCGGTTTTCTACACTGGAGCCGCTATTTCCTTGAAAATAGCTTCTCAATTATCCTCACAAGGCTGAGAGGACCCCGTTCCAGATCCACTACTTCTCAGAAAAATTAGGTAGCGCCGAGAATCCAACCCGGTACCTCTGGATCTGTAGCCAGGAACTCTGACCACCAGACCACAGAGGCGGTCTTTATAATCCTAGAAAATAATGTAATTTAGCTACTCTCTGTACAGATGGTCATTTGACCAAATCCTGGTCACATCACATTTAATTATAACTGACTGGAATTTTAAGTATGTAACAAATTATCACTATTATAAATATAACTGGTATAAATAATAATATTCATGACCCTCCGCCATTAATTAAGGATGGAAAAATGGTTAACAATAACCAATATATAGCAAATGCTTTTAATTTATATTTCAGTACTATGATGGATAATTGGTTGGACAACTCACATATAACTTTAGGGTCAATTTTAAATAAAGGTAAGTTTTTTCGTTACTTATATTCAGTATCCATAGGACCCAATCACTACACAGATTTTTTAGGCGTGACTCTTGACTCGACATTATCTTGGCAAGAGCATATAAATAAGGTGATTACTAAATTAAATTCTGCTTGTTTTGTTATTAGATCTCTTAAATTGTTTTTAACTATAGAAGACTTAAAAATTGTATATTTTGCTTATATTCATTCTATTATCACGTATGGTGTTGCCTTTTGGGGAAACACAACTAATAGTAAAACTGTTTTTATAGTACGAAAAAGAATTATAAGAAATATTACGAATGTGAATCCTAAAATATCTAGTCAGGGACCTTTTAGACCCCTAAATATACTGCCCTTTTATTCACAATATATTTTTATTGTATATTATTTTTGTTTTACTATGTTTCAGTGTTATATGAAATATTGTGATTGATACAAAGTGTCCTTGATTACATAGTTTTATTTCTTGACAAGGTTGTGTGTTATAATTGCTACATTTTTAATAATGGCCTACTTATATATCTGTGGTGACTTGTTATCACCTGTATGGATTACTTGAAGTATCAACAAATTAAATTAAATTAAATTACCATGAGAATACCTTACTACTTATGTCAACATTACATTTGCCAGTCATAATCTCAAAATTTTGAACCTTTGCACTGTTCACAGCTGTCATTTGTTTATAAACAATGTTTCATACAGAATTTGCAAGAATGTTTATGATCTATTTCAGTATCAAAGTTCAAATGTCCAGCTCCAACGGTTCATTAGTTATCAGCAACAAACTGAAAACTAAATAAAGATTTCATTCAGTTAACATTTTGTTTTACATTCTACCTTAACAAGAAAAAGTTGCACATTATCTGAAGACCTCTTACCATATAAAATTTCATAACAATATATCAAGTGGCAAAAATGTCACTCCCACCCCAAAATTTTATTTATCACCCACATAGCAGGACATTAAAAAAAAAGAGGTTAGGATGGTTTTTAATGCCTCAGCACTCAATACAGGTTCAAAAGTTGAAAAAAAGGGGATTCACATGCAACATGGTGTTTTCCTAAACCTACTTTCTCTACTTCAGAAAGGGAAGCAAGCCAAGAATAACTGTAAAATAAAATCATGTTCTTGAGCGTATACTTTCTGGAAAGTTAAACCATTATTCACACTTCAACAGTTTCTTTAAGCAGTCCTCAAGCAATCATGTAAGTTTAAATGATTTTTAAGTGCCTAAATATATGCAATTGGTCTGCAGTATTTATCTAGTCTCACACTACTGATGACACATAAAATTAAACTGAAAACAAATTCATCAAACTTTAAACTAGAAGATGGGACATGCAGTAACCAACAAGTTTGCTGACAAATCTTCAATATATAAATCCACTACATAAAACTACTGTCTGTTAAATGTTTAAAGAATTTTATAAATTCCACACCATTTGTCTTATCAGAGTTCTTCATTCTGTAAATGAATTGGAATACCAAAAATGATATAACAAGTGAACTATTCCAAAGGGTGACAAACATATAATTTAATGCCAATTAAGCTACAAAAGTCACAATAAAAATAAATAAGCATAAATGAATAACAGGAGTTATCAAATATATGTATTTGGCAGAAAAAAATATTTATTTTAGAGTATTCAGGGTTTATGGCCCACGGTTTTCTCTGAACCTTCTTGTGGACTTAATATTCTTCACATTTGTCAAAGGTGGGGAATGGTAAAGCATGTAGAAAACTCCACAATTGTCTTACATGAAGATGTCAATGAAAATGGACTGACCACTACCTTAACAAATTTAGAGCATGGCCTTAATTTTGTTATTTTAAAAAAAAAGTTCAGTCAAATCTCTTCTATGACACAAATTCAGAAACACTGCAAAAATAGCTGTAACAGTTTACCCCTTCAGGAATGAATTCAAACCTGAGAAGCATGGTATATTAACATTAACACAAGTGACTTCTCACATTAATGCATTTTGATTAAGACTGAGAAAAAGTACAAGTCATCTCCGTGATTAATTAAGTAAGAACCATGTCATAAAGATGTATGGGAGGTAGAGATATAGCTCCATGCCATAAACACAGCAGAGTAAGATACAGCTTGACGTATTGTTAACCTTGGTTGTAGATGGAGGTGAGAGATGAGTTTCACATCCTGGTTTCTTTATCTTAACCTTCCCTTCAGAGGAAGGTGTGTGACAAGCTTCATACCCTGACTGCTTTTCCCCTAAGTAAAGGAGGGTGGGTGTGTCTCAGAGCCAGTCTGGATGCAGTGGAGAAGAGAAAAAACACTTAGCCTGCCACGAATTTAACCCCAATTCTCTGATCATACAGCCTATAACCTAGTCACTATACTGTCCAATCTATATATATATATATATATATATACATAAATACACAACTTTTACATTATGAATATTAAACAACACTACACTACAAAATATGTCATATTCTTGTTCAATCAATACACTTCTTTCTAAAATGCCAATGTCCTGGCTTTACAAAACTGTCTGTTCTGCTGTTCAATGTCACTGGTAATCCTTAGCACATTAGATTTCCTGTATACAATATAAGTAAAATAGTAGTAGCGGATGTACTGAAAGCATGATATTTTCTGGGAATGTAGCAGCTACTATTGCATATCTCAAACATTTGAACATAAACAACTTTCTTCTATGAGAACACACTTGTGAAATGCCAAAATATTTTAAATGTAATTTGAAAATTATTCAATATATAGCATAACATCCCAGTCCCACTGTCTTTATTATATACATACCATACATAGTCGATCAATTTCCTATCGAGCAATTTCCTTTCAAGAACCAACACACAATAAACAAGCTAGGTAATAATTTCTACAATCTCCAGTTCCAGGTGATGTAAAGCAGAGACACAATCTTGAAAAGTAATTCAGGAAAGGTCAGGGTCAAAGGACTAATTCAGGAAATTGGCAAAAGTAATACAGCAGGAAATGCTGTAATAAAGGATAAGTTAAAAACAGATTCATAGTTTCAAATAAGGAAAACATGAAAAATGACACAAGAGTTAATGTGAATGGAAATGGATGCTGGTTGGTCGTAAGACCAGGTGGGACCTATAAGGAACCCCCACACATGGCTAACCTCCTGAGACTGGCTAAACCCCAGAACCTGGCAACTGGACATAACACAATGTACAGGATCCATCCTCCTGCTACATCCAGTACTCTCTTGCCTGCAAGAGAATAGACAGTCATATCACCCATTTAGTATAACACACAAAATTGCTAAGGAATTTTTGTAAGCCAAGATCATATGTGACTGCACAGGTACCTATATTCTGAATAAAAACAAAATGGTAATATTGTAGTTTAAGTACATGCAGAAATTCATATTAGAAGCAATTTTAAGCATCATCCCTGGTACAAGAAAAGTACAAAATTTAAACTGCATACTGTATTCTTATAATATATTCAAATAACTCACCTCAACAATCTTTTCCTGCTGCACGTGACAAATTATCCATACATGTCAGATGTCATTTGTTTACAGTTAAATAACTGTCTAACTGTAAACCATGAGTAACTTATTAACACATCTTAAGACTAAAATACCCCAACTCAATATCTAAACATTAAATGAACGAATATAACTGTATTTATCATTGGATATTTCTTGGATCCATCGTTATAAAACAATTTACAGTAGTCTCTCTGTACATATTACGTACTCAGCTTCATCTGGAACTTATAAACTTACTATACATGAATATGGAAACTTACACTACACTCATATACATGTGCAACAATTTCCACAAGAAAAACAAAAGTACATGATTTTGATATTAGTACTAGAATCAATTACCACTGTGTCATCTATTCAATATTTATCATATTCTCACAAAATAAAACAACTCTCATAAAATGCAACAAATGCAAAATAACAATCACACACCTGTATGCACGTGTAATAACTCCAGTGTCTTTTTGCAAAGAGGTAGATGTGAAGCAATACCCGTCTGTGACACAAGTAAAATTTCTGTCGGCACAAATATCGCAGTGGCATAGTAACCCTAAAACAATAAACACAAACATCTGTTAACAAGCAAAACAATTAACACCATTACATTACATGTTCTAAAGACCTAATGAAAAGAGAAGAACAAGGCATTCAGAACTGTAACTGGAAATGCTATCACATCTTAAATGATTCGTTCTTATTTTCTTTGATGACACTGTATCACATGCCAAGACTATGTGTCAATGGATGAGCTGGGAAGATAATCATTAACGGTTAGTAGCTATGGCATTTGGAAGGAGGCAGTCATTGCCCATTTTGAGAGGCAGAATTTGCCTGGAAAGACTGTCAGAGCAGCCAGAACCTCAGCTGAGATTCTGACCAGGTTGTACACCTCCACAGCAGTTACTGCTACACTACACTACTCAGTCAAATTCCATCCTGAGATTTAATCTACACTACATAACAACTGATGCTACACAAATATATGAGGGGGGACCCAAAAAGAACCGGAAACGACCTGTTGCGCGTGCATGCTTTGTAGTTACGAGTTGTGGTGCTAGGTGGTGTTAGCTGGGGGTCTCCCGCAACTGTTAGTGAGCTGGCGTCAGTCTGAGTTAAGTGGTTTGTCTGTGGTGCTCTGTTGTGTGCGTTCCTATTTCAACCCTTTGGTGATTAGTGAGATGGCCGACCAGAAGGAACAAAGAGTGTGTGTGAAATTGATGAAGATCGTCGAAAGACCATTGACCAACTTTCTGAGGAAACGAACATCTCATGGAGCACGGTCCAGCAAACTTTAACCGAAGGTTTGCACATGAGACGGGTGTCTGCAAAATTTGTTCCTCGCTTGCTCGGAGATGACCAAAGAGAAAACCGCGTGAATGTTTGCCGCGACTTGAAGAGTGAAGTGCAGTTTTCCCTAACAGAAAGCAAAATTTCACGCACACTCTTTGTTCCTTCTGGTCGGCCATCTCACTAATCACCAAAGGGTTGAAACAGGAACGCACACAACAGAGCACCACAGACAAACCACTTAACTCAGACTGACGCCAGCTCACTAACAGTCGTGGGAGACCCCCAGCTAACACCACCTAGCAGCACAACTTGTAACTACAAAGCATGCGCGTGCAACAGGTCGTTTCCGTTTTTTTTGGGGTCCCCGTTCATACAACATGAAATAAACACAGAAATTAAAGGTCTCCCAAAATCTAAAATATGATTGATTATTTTTTCCTATCCTCAGCTATGCAGGTAATTACTATAGTGTTGAGGCACAGATAATCTTACAATAGCATCTTAAAAAAATATGCAATTTGGATGTATTCATTAACATAGTGTTTGCAATATTCCATTCTCCTAAAACAACAAAGTTCTGAAACTAGGCGGAATGGTAGAAATTTATGAGATTGCTGGGAGATAATAGGGGCCAGAAAATATGAATAAATGTTTATTCATTTCATCACCCTTCTCAAGTTCCATTTATCACTTTCTACAAAAAATTCAATAACTGTCCGTTCATGTACACATTCAATTATTTACACCCAACATCATCCTTACTTCTAATGTAAATCATTGAAGAGCAAAGATTCTATAAAATTATAAGCTCTTTTCAGCTCGAATTTTACATTATATTTTACACAAGTGTCTGATAGTGCTGTGGAGGCTTGAACACAGTTCTACATATGTCAGGTAAAGGTGTCCCATAATTACTTAAGCACTATGACATTAAGACATAGGGGGGAGTGGAGATATAGCTCCACCATTCTTGACCTTGCCACTAGATCAAGGTGAGTGATCAATTTCACATCCCGGCCATTTTACCCCCAGGGAAAGAGGCCCCGGTACCCACTGGACAGGATGTTGGGTAGGCCCCACAGCTGGTGTGGATGATGTGGAAAAGAGAAAATTCTTGACGCTACCAGGATTTGAACTCCGACCCCTCAGTTGTTCAGTCTATAACCTGTCGCTATACTGACTATGCTATCCAATCTTTCAATAAAAGGGAAAGGGTTCTTTCAAGGAAATCAGCATACTGGATTACAATGACACAATTCACTATCACATATGGTTCATCATCTATGATTCCAGCCCAAAAGCTGATGCCAAATCTTTGATGAAATGAAGAATATCAAATAGCATGAGAATCCTCCAGTGCCCATTCACATAGGCTGTGGAGACTGTCTACTCCAACCCTTAAAAATGCTGTTTCATCACTCTACAATAAACAGCACAAAAAGTCAGGTTCATCTACAATTTTGCATAGAAGCCACTGACAAAATTGCAGGCTAAGATAATCATCTGGATGTAGCCCTTGCTGAAGGTATACTGCTCCTCATACAGCATCAAACATATATTCATTCAGCACAATTCATTTGTCATGGCCAACATATGCACGTTTCCCTCAGACTGCAGTGTATCACTGCCAACAAGTCTGCTGGGTTGCCTACAACCTGGATACTGAGGCCAGTATTTACCTCATTCAGCTATGGCATTTTCACATCACAAAAACCATCATCTCATTTTGCAGTTGTCAGTGCTTTGTCATCGGAAGTAATATGGGTCATAAATATATGAAATATCGTAACTCTGAAATGGTGGTGAATCAGACAACTCTTTATTTACATTTCCTACTCCAAATTATCTTCTAAACAACCTATAAAGCGTGGCTCTAGGACTTTGAATTTCCTTGCATAAGCTGCCTCTGTGACCCATTCTCATACACGACACACATACAATTTTCTGGTAAAATGATATTGTAATTGCCCAAATATTATTACAAGTGCAATTTTGGAAAAAAGTTGTTAATTGTAACTTATGACATCTTACATACTGGTGAAAACAAATAAGTGAAATGCATCAGACACTAGATCTTTTAGGTTACAGGCAATACAAGTAAATAATCTGCTACCATCAAATCTTATGCCACAAAAGATAACAAATTTGGGAAAATTTGCACACATGCAGATATATTCTCTTAAAACACGAAGTTCCAAGAAGAATTAATCAGCTACTTTCCTATTGGTACATATTTTATACTTGATACGATAAGTGGTGAAAATACTTTATTATGTACAGGTAAATAAGATGACAAAACAATAATATAAACTCTATTCTTATTGAACCTGAAAGCAATAAAACAATTTAAAATGAAGATGTTGCCAGAGCCTCATCAGTGAGAACAGGGTGCACCACAGGAAAGCAGGGATGGCTGTAGGATATGAGAGGCTTTGTGAGAGAGGCTACAATGTTGGTATTACTGATGAGACAGATTTATGGAGTATACAGCTGAGATGACCTCAAGTGGCATGATATACATACCAAGTTTCATGATGAGTTCTGGTATTCAAATAATATTAAGATATTTATCTCAACAATTTCAGAGGCTGCAATATTAGTTCTACTGATGGGAGGGATTTATGAAGTATGCCATTGAGGTGGTTCCAAGTGGCATGATATACATATCAAATTTAATGAAAACTGGTACAGGTGTTGAAGCAAATATTTAGGTTTTGGATCAGCAATGTCAGCAGCTGTAATGTTGGTATTAACAATGGGGAGGGGGGGGGGCAGATTTAAGAAGCACGCAATGAAGTGGCTTCATGTGGCATAGTACACATACCAAGTTTGATGAAGACTGGTACAGGTGTTCAAGCAATATGAAGGTTTTGCCTAAGCAATTTTAGAGGCTGTAATGTTAGTATTACTTATGGGAGGGATGTATGAAGTATGATGTTGAGACGGGCTCATGTGCCAGTATATATACCAAGTTTCATAAAGAGTGGCTCAGGCATTCGAAAGCTGATGGGGTGATACACACACACACACACACAGAAAGCAAGGTGATCTCATAAGCTTATTTCTTTTTACAAAATAAGGGAAGTATGCAAAAAAAGGAAAAAAGTCACTAGCAGGCAGACCACTATTCCTGACAAATCTATAATGCATAAAAATGAACGAACACTGCAAACAAAAGGTCTGTAGTGAATGTAATACCTCTTCAGTAGCTGCTCACTTGAAAAAATATAAAAAAGGCTGTGTACTAGTCCTTATCTAATCAAATATGCAAATAGGGTTGTGGGACAAATTGTAAACTCAACCAGATAATAACAACTTGGAATTATAATGTTACCACGCAACAGAGAAACTACACACTGACTAGCTTCAAAACGTGAACAATCTGCCTAATATTTACCTTCCTGTGTTCAATAATTGCAAATATACAGCATGTTGAAATTTCAAGTTTTCCGTAAATTTTCCCTTGTTTTCATTCATTGAAATGCTTAAACTCTGGTCCTCATTATGATGGAAAGCTCATTCTTGTACTAAATAAAAGCTCCCAAATGGGGCTTTCATTTGGTATGTTACAATATTTTTGGATACATTAGCACACTGACCTTAACCTCTGACTTCAGTTTAAGAATAACATATATCCAGATTCATGCAAATTTTCCCATAACACTTTGTGGTCATTTGAATACAGCTTTGGAAAGTATCATGCTGGGAAATGAAAGTGATGAGATGGTATGATTTTCTGTATGTGACCTGTGAACTGTACAGACATGATATAGGGCATAATTACTCAGCCAGCCTTTCAGTTCATACCTGACACCAATACAGTTAAGTTGCATTTACTTTTTTGGCAAATTCTTCAATGATTAAGCAAATGAAAAACAAAAAATCAAATTATTACTTCTGCCAAGTTTACAATTGTGGCAAGTGTGTTTCAAAACACTGTTGTAATTCCATGCTAATGGGATGAACAAACCATAAACCTATATACACAATTATAAATTCTTTTCAAAACTGCCCCAAATAAATCCACCGAACAGGTCCTCTGAAGTAAGCATTATGTGCTAGCCAATCTTAATTCAGAGCCCAAGCTATTGTACTAAACATTCAATTAATCACACTACATCTTATGTTGAAGTGCCACACATGGGTTATGCAGTGGAATAAAGTATGTTCATGTATGACAGCTATATGAGAAGTGGTTGTGTAAGGGAAAGATGGAAAATATTCCAGTATAAATTTCAGGTAGCTGCAGTTTCAAATACA